TGACGAGTTTTTATATAAAAAAAAAAAAAACTTTGAAACTTGTTATTTTTCGTTCATTTAGTTATTTCTATTATTTTACCATTTTCACATGTTTAACATTATTGGTGCCTCTCTGTTATAAGGATATATGTGTATTCCTATTTCTTCCACAGTCACCCTTTATCCTATCTCTCTCTCTCTCTCTCTCTCTCTCTCTCTCTCTCTCTCTCTCTCTCTCTCTCTCTCTCTCTCTCTTTATATATATATTTATATTTCTCTCTCTCTCTCTCTCTCTCTCTCTCTCTCTCTCTCTCTCTCTCTCTCTCTCTATATATATATATATATATATATATATATATATATATATATATATATACATACATATATATATATATATACATATATATATATATATATATATATATATATATATATATATATATATATATGTATATATATATATATATATATATATATATATATATATATATATACATATTTATAGTCTCTCTCTCTCTCTCTCTTTCTCTCTCTCTCTCTCCCTCTCTCTCTCTCTCTCTCTCCCCCTCTCTCTCTCTCTCTCTCTCTCTCTCTCTCTCTCTCTCTCTCTCTCTCTCTCTCTCTCTCTCTCTCTCTCTCTCTCCCTCTCTCTCTCTCTCTCTCCCTCCCTTAATCTACCTATCCCTTTCCTTCCTTATCCTCACCTCACCTCCTCTCGCACCCCATTACCCAGACTATTTGCAACAAGATCAATAAGTAATCAACCCTCTGAAGTAGTGTCCTATCCTCTTTTCTGCTTCTCTTTTGTTCCCATTCTCCTTCGGCCAACCTACGCTTCCATCGTTTATTCATGGTTAACCTTTCGGTCTCTTTCGTCGTTATTCCCGAGTCCTCCAGACGCTACCGTGTGTTTTTACTTATTTATCCGTTCGCTTATTTATTCCGTGTCTCTTCTCGCATATCCGGATTCATTTCGTTTTACAGATATATTATTATAAGGAGATTTAAGAGATGGATATTACTTTACGATTTCGGTAGATCGGCGGTGAGGTTAGAAGAACACACGCGGTCACAGTAAAGCCTCTTTTATTTTAAGAAATACCACACTTGTCACCCGGCTCAGGTTAAGTAAAAAGCGAAGATATTCAAGTTTTATTACATACTGATTTTTTTACTGAAGTGGGAAGGGGAGTGTTGGCTGGTACAGGGATGGGGGAGGGAGAGGGAGAGGAAGAGAGGGAAGGAGGGAGAGAAAGATAAAGAAAGAGAGACAAAGAGAGAGAGAGAGGAAGGAAGGGAGGGAGGGAGAGAGAGAGAAGTAGACAGATAGATAGGGATAAAAAAAAATTATCAGACATGAATAGAAAGAATGAACAGAGAAAACAACAGACAGACAAATATTGAACTTACATAATCTACACGTATCAGTGTGTTTCGACAAGGATTTCCTAGCGTGTTTAAATGCACGTGTGTAAAAGAATATATTGTATCCTTTTATACATACAAAACTCCCTACTCTGTATGTCATCACTTTCATACAGTTGGACGGCTTAATTAATATCATACTACATGAATTTCAACCTTATGAACATTTGGACGAAAAAACAGGAAGGCAATTTAAAAAATAACAATAAAAAAGGGGAAAATAAAGAATAAGGTTCATTTTGATTATAACATATCAAAAGCCTGCTGACATATGTCTAAAGTTTAATTTATTTTATCAAATAATCATTATGTTTATGTAAAGCAAAAATTATATCCTCCATCGCCATCCTGATCCACTGAAAGAACCAAACTTTAAAAAAAAAGGAAAAAAAAAAACTATTTTTCTGCCCATCAACAATTCACAGCTGAAAAGTCAAGGAGAATATAAATTGGAAATGAAATAACGAACATAAAAGAACAAAAAAATATACAAAAAAAGGAAATATATCACATCCAAAAAAATAAACACCTCAGCACCAAAAACACAAATAAACAAACCAAAAAACAAACATATTATTAACACAAACACCTAATCTTTAACCTAATCCACTAATTCTTCTTCTTCTCCTCCTCTTCCTCTTCGAGTTTCTTCAAAATGCTTCGTTGTTCTAAGGGGAACGTTACGCATCGCCAAGCCAAGCGAATGAACACCCAGAACACCATGCATAACAGGAAATAGGGTATGGAGCTCAGTACCATGTGCATGATCTGTAATAAAAAAAAATATATAGATAGATAAATAGATAGATAGGAATACGAAGAACAACAGAATCAACGATAATGATAATGGTGATGATGATGATGATGATAATAACAGTATTAGAAGTAATGGTGATTAATAAATATGATGATGATGATGATGATGATGATGACGATGATGATTGTTGTTGTTGCTTTGTTGTTTTATTGTTATTATTATTGATATTATTATTATTATCATATTATTAACATTGCTATTACAATCATCATTATGATAATAATAATGATAATAATAATATCATTATTATTATTATCATTATTATTATTATTATTATCA